ATGAAACTTTCAAAAGATGGCGGTTTTAATATTGAGCAACTTTGTAAAACATTGTATCGCTGTAGAAAGCAAACCAACGGCGCTAGAGGTTTTGGCCATGCGAATGGCTTCGCTGCCCCACTGTGCGTCGCTACACTTTGTTTACGAAAAGGCTTAAAGGTGTCTTATGGAATAATGTCTGACGTCGAGATTATCAAGGAAATAGAGCAACGAGAGATGGATGACCAGAAGGCTGCTGAAGAGCGTGAAGCTGATGAGATTGCCCGAACTAAGCGCGAAAAAATGTTCCATAAAGCTAAGGAAGAGCTATCATTGGAAACTGAGCGGATCAAATCGACTCCGGATAGACTCAAGCAGCTGGAAATTGAACCAACTACAGAGAGGAAAAAAATCTCTGCGAAACGAAAGCTAAAACAAAGCAACTTGTTGCTCCAGACACACAGATTTCACGTGCCCCGAAAAAGCGAATTAGAATAGCTTAGTTTGGAACAATGGATTATTCTTTTACTATGAAAGTGCGATTAACATTAACAACTCCAAACCCTATCCGAATGAATCATATTTTATTACATATTGTATCATTCTACACATTCATACATTCATACATTGACTTCGCCCTAAAATTGATTTTCCACCTTAAAAATAAACATTTAACTTGATTTAACAATACATTGGATTACAAATCCAAGTCACGCAACAACGCCCACCAAGAAAAGAAGGATCAGAACAGTATACAGACTAGTTACGTTACAGAAAGTCTGTAACGGTATGTAAAATGAAGTCTGAATTTATCGTGTTTGGAACAGTCTGATCAGGAACTAAATTAAATTTACACGTTTATTTCACACTTCTAGGTGGATAAGGAAAACACAAAACTACATCTAGTATCGCAAGTACGTTTTAATCCCTTGTAATACCTTAATTTCAACAAATTTTGAAATCAATAGTTCGATATTTTAGTTTTTGAACCAAGTTAATATATAGTTCAAGGCAGGATAATTATTTCGCTATCATCAAAAATTATAAGTCAACAAGACATTATAGTTTCCTTCCAAGCGAACAATTAGAATCATTTTTTGTTATTTTCTACATATATACTAAGAATTCTGATTGTGATATATTTGCTCTCTGTGAAACATGGCTTTCTTCCGATAAAGAACTCAACTTCCACGATTTTAACATTATACGCCTGGATAGAGACGATTTTTATGGAGGAGTACTTTTAGGGATCAAAAAGTGCTACCCTTTCTACAAAATTTCCCTTCCTGCTCTATCAGGCGTCGAAATCGTCGCTTGCCAAATAAATGTGAAGAACAAAGACCTTTGCATAGCTTCAGTTTATGTTCCACCAAGAACCTCCATTAGCTGTTGTCAACTCTGGAATCTAGTTTCGATGTTTCCATCCCCAGTATTAATTCTGGGTGATATGAACTCCCATGGTACTGGGTGGGGCGATCTATACGATGACAATAGAGCGGCTATTTTTTACGATTTATGCGACGATTTCATCTTGACTATTTTGAACACTGGTGAAGCGACACGTATAGCAAAACCTCCGGCTCGAGAAAGCCGACTCGACCTATCTTTGTGTTCAAGATCGCTATCATTGGATTGTCTGTCGAAGGTTATCAATGATCCCCATGGTAGCGATCATGTGTGCCCCTCACTCTGCAGAACCATCTCGAGTTCCATTTGCTCTTACAAGGAACATAGCTTGGCATAAATATGCAACGGCGGTGACAATCGGTGCCGAATCAATAGATACGCTTCCACCATTGGAAGAACATCGATTCCTCGCCGATTTGATTTAAAAAAGTTTACTGGAAGCACAAAAAAGAAAAGTTCCAAGTGCGCCCTTCAAAAGGAGACCAGCCACACCTGGATGGGACGAAGAATGCACAAAATTGTATGTAGAAAAATCTAATGCTTTCAAAGCTTTTCGTAGACACAAAACCTCCACATACTTCGAAGAATATTCAAAGCTTGAGACAAAGCTGAAACAATTGATCAAAGCAAAAAAACACGGTTATTGGCCCAATTTCGTCGAGGGACTCTCACGAGAAACCTCAATGAACACCTTGTGGAGGGTGGCTCGGAACATGCGTAACCGCCCATCTTCTAATGAGAGTGAAGAATACTCCAACTGATGGATATTCGATTTCGCTAAAAAAAGGTCTGTCCGGACTCAGTTCCAACACAACACATTCCTCGAGAAGCGTCTCCGAGCAGCAGCTCTCTGGATAGACCATTCACAATGCTGGAATTCTCCATGGCTCTTCTTTCATCGAACAACTCCTCACCGGGAAGCGATATGATTAAATTCAATCTTCTGAAAAATCTCCCAGATATCGCTAAAAGACGCTTGCTAGACTTATTCAATTCCTTACTAGAAAACAACATTATACCGCCTGAATGGAGACAGGTCAAAGTAATAGCCATTCGAAAACCAGGCAAACCAGCGTCTGACCATAACTCATACCGTCCGATTGCGATGCTTTCGTACATTAGGAAATTGTTGGAGAAAATGATCCTTCGGAGACTCGATCAGTGGGTCGAAACAAATAACTTGTTATCAAATACACAGTTTGGGTTCCGCAAGAGCAAAGGAACACACGATTGTCTAGCGCTGCTTTCCACAGATATTCAACTGGCCTTTGCGCACAAGGAGCAATTGGCTTCAGTATTCTTGGACATTAAGGGGGCTTTTGATTCAGTTTCCATTGAAATTCTGTCAGACAATCTGCACAGATGTGGACTTTACGGAATTTTAAATAATTTCATGTACAATTTGTTGTCAGAAAAGCAAATGAACTTTTCCCTTGGACAACTGACAACTTCGAGAATTAGCTACAACCGTTTGGCAGAACAATGCACGCTAAGACAACTTGCAGATGACGGTGTGGTTTCCGTAAGAGGTCCATATGCCGTGGACTTGCAAGGACCATTGCAATGTTCCTTAGATAACTTGTCTTCTTGGGCTAGGAATCTAGGGATCGAATTCTCGCCGCAGAAAACTGAACTGGTAGTGTTTACTCGAAAGCGGTACCCAGCCCAAATGCATCTTAATCTTTTGGTCAGAAACATTACTCAATCATTGTCTTTCAAGTACCTTGGGGTCTGGTTTGATTCAAAGTGCACTTGGAATACCCATATTACGTATTTGAAGCAAAAATGTCAACAGAGGATCAACTTTCTCCGTTCAATTTGCGGCACATGGTGGGGTGCTCATCCGGGAGACCTCATAACGCTTTATAAAACAAATATTCTCTCTTTTCTAGAGTACGGCTCTTTCTGCTTTCCCCTCGGCAAGAAAATGTCACCTAATAAAATTGGAACGAATTCTGCGTATTGCTCTTCGCTGTATGCAATCAACGCATTGAGTCTCGAGGTTCTGGCAGGAGTAACACCCCTCCAGAACCGTTTTTGGGAGCTCGTTCTCAGAATACTAATCAAATGCGGAGTGACGAACACACTTATAATTGAAAATTTTGAAGAAATTCTTGGGCTGAACACACAATCTCGATTTATGAGAATCTACCACCACTACATATCGTCAGATATGTGTCTTCCTTGTTACACTCCAGACCGTGCTCACTTCACCAATCGCAGTTCTTCAATTGAATATGATCTTACGAAACCTAACCCCCATTCTCCTCCGCTGATCCTCTCCTTCGACAATGTACCTCTCTAACCTCGAGTAAGCCGCGAGTATTCGGCCCAACTCCTACTAGACATAGAATTGAGTGAATTTTGTTACAAACAAAGACCAATGAACTATCGGCTCCGTAAAACTAACGCGATTGAGCCTTCCAAATAAACGAACTAGTTAAAACAATATATACTAAGATCTTGTTGATAATCGTATTGATTATCTAGAAATCTTTGGATTATTCCCAAGGTACCATGAAAAGCAATAAAAATGGTTCGAACCACGATCATTTACCCTAATTGTTTTTCGCATTTATAAATCAATTACTGCCGCTGATGGGAAGAAGAAGGCCACTTTAAATCTACCCACATTTGCCTAGTACTTGGGTAAAGCCACGCGATCCTCAAGTACTGGAAAAGCCACAGTATCAATCATCAGCATTCCCCTTATTCAAATTTGTTTACAAAATCACTTGTACGGTGTCATTCTTATCATTCATATCGTTAGGTTTGGTATAAAAGCTGCAAGCTTAACGAAAGTAAGTCACATCACATACAACCATTCCACCTAGCAAGATGAAACTCGCAATTCTCGGTCTGCTTCTGCTCGGGGCGCTAGTTCTGGTTCACAGCCAGGATCCCTCGGAAGCACCTAGTACCACCGTCGAGGACACCACTCCGGCGGCATCGGAATCCACAACACCGGCGGAAGATGAAGACTCATCTTCCGCAGCACCAGAGGAATCGACCACCGAAGAACCTTCAACGACGGTAAGACCTTCGAAGCCACCACATCACAAACCACCTCACCATCATCATCCGAAGCCACCCCACCATGGAGGACATCCGAGACCTCCACACCACCATCGTCCACGTCCACCGATGAAGTTCTCCGAGAAACTGGTGGATTTTCCGGATGCTGATCAGGAGTAGTGTTTAGATAGATCAGAGATACCAGTGATTTGAGTATAATATATAAATAAATTAATCTGAAAGTGAACAGATCTATGATTTTCCCAAATTTTCGAGCATCCCTTGCATTAAAGACTGTCTTCCAAAACTTGCAGCCCAACCCATCCTTCAGAGCAACGACAACAGAAAAACGTCTATTTTTAGCATTTGTATTCTCCGTCTATAGCGCGGACCTTGTCGCATCATTCAAACCCCTCTTTTGGTAGAGCGATGATGCCCAGATAGTAGTGTCCCTTTGTTGCCGTAGGTAGACTAAGCTTGTCAACCCCTTCTGAATCACAGCCATAAATAGCTAGCTGGTAAGAGGTTGGTGAGCAGGTGGAGCAATCCATTCATGGTATCAGCGTAGTAGGTGCTTGATGAAAAATAAAATAACTTACTTCTTGATGATGACGATGATGCTCCACAGTTTGATATGAGATGCTAAGTCGTAAAAACCCGAACAATAGTAGCAGAGAATTCCAAAGCTTTACGAGTCCAAGCGATGTTGATGCATCTGTAATAAAACAAAGAGGAATGAAGGACGAACATTAGCGAAAAAACAAATTTGAATACCTACTCAACATTTATTTCACCGAGGTGTGATCAAAGTCGTTAAAACAAAGCAAACAAAAACAGATCCCTTAAAGCCTTAAGGGTGTGTATTATTTATTTCCGCTTCCGCATATGTTCCGTTGTTTTTGTTTCGTTCTGTTTTTATTTAGGAGAGGCATTTACGATGCAATTACCTACTCCGGACGAGTGGCAGCAATGAATGCGCCCGAAAGATCGATACCCCGTTTGACATACGGACATTTGGCATACGGATGTTTGGACCAATGTCTTCTTCTTCCTCGCATTTCAAGCTTATTGCTTATCGCATATTAGCATATTGCGTGCTCTCAACTTAGAGTTCTAGATGCACTTCCACAGTCATTATCTGAGAGCTTTCGATGTCTGTACCATTTTTGCATTAGTATTATTGTGTGGCAAGTACAATCATACTCAATGCTCAGGGAAGTCGAGAAATTCTCTAACCCGTAAAATTCCTAGACCGGACCGAGAATCGAACCCAGCCACCTGCAAGCATGGTATTGCTTTGTAAATGTGGCTTAACCGAATGAGCTAAGGGAGAATTGATGTTTGGTCCACAATTTTGTGATTCGTCAATACGTCATGAACTATGTTAATATTAAATGGTATGAAATTTTATACTATTAAACCAGTAGGGTAGATGTACCCGGCTATACGTTTCTTTTATGGTATGTTCCAATTACCAAATGCAGATGTTCTAAGGCTAAGGCAGATGTTCTAAGGCTAAAATGATCTTAGAAACTCCGAAATGGATTTAAAAAGCCAAAAAAGTCATTGCGTTGAAACGGAATGAAACGCCAAAACAGTCCATAAAAATTCATAGAAACATAAAAAAGCTAGAAACGACAAAATTGTGGTAAACCAACAAATCAATTTAAAAACAACCTCATATGTACGAAAATGATCTTAAAACAATGAAAGATTTATTCAAACGCATGAATAGTATCAAACCAATCATGTAGTATTAACACTAATTATAAACCACCTCATAATCGTTGTAAAAAAAGACTCAAAGCGCTAAAAGTTCTTTTAAAATCCTCAAATGAATCTCGAAAACACTGAAATAACCCTGAAAACGTCAACACACTAAAAAGGCCTGACAAACGCCAAACAAGGTTAAAACCTAGAATTTCTTAAAAACGCCAAATCTTATGAGCAGCCTGAAAATGAAAACTCTCATAAAAATCATTAAACGTAAAAAAGGTCTAAGCAAGTCAAAATAGCATAGACTGTATAATGCTAAAATTTTCTCGAAATTGATTATCCCAGCATAATTAGAAAATCAGATAAATTCTGCATGCCATTTAAAAACCTATGTTCAACTTGTCTGAATTTTTGCAACCCACCAGTGCACAATGGGGAAAAATCGACCCAAAATCCCACTTAATTAGACGGCGCACGGTAGGACTCCTGAAAAACAGCCTATGATGATGGTCCCATTTAGGGTTGACTTCGGAAGTGGTCCGTTTTGCCCGATTTACCCCTAATTTTGCAAGAAAAATATATTTATCATCCAGAAACTGAACTTGGTGCGCTTAGATTGAGCCAACGTAAATTTTATCCTTGTAAAAAGAGCTGAGGAGTTGAATGGAGCAAGTTTTACTTCGATCAGACGTCAATTAGTGGTTAATTTTACCCGATTTTCCCTGGCCTATAAAAACAAGATTAAAAACTCGGTAAGCAGAATTTGACGGACAAAAAATTGAACTTTATGCACTTAACTATTGTACACTTATTCAAGGAGTCGAATGCTGCGAAGCTCGCTTTGTGGCAACCACTGTAAAACCCCATTTCAGCCTATATTCCCATCAAACTGGAACAAACTCATATATCATGTTGTTTTATAGATTAGCGTCATTAATATAACACGCACTTGCACTATACTTATGTTAAAATATCCGGAAAATCAAATGGTGATGGTCCCTTCTTGGTCAGACTTCAGGAAATGGTCTGTTTTGCCCGATCTCCCCTCAAATTAAAAAAAAAAAACCATATAAATCAAGTGGATGTTTGAATTGGTACTATAATGCATAAACCTATATGCACTAAATTATCGTAGAAGACGGGGCTCACACGATTTGATTTCTTGGATAATTCTACGATGATTTAGTGCATATGGGTTTATACCAAAGACAACAAATCAAGAAGACTGGCAACTCTTCCATTTTCTCATACGAACGCGATGAGACTGGTACAATCGCGTCATCTGCTGCTCAAAGGTAAATGCTATGCGTTTCTTCCACCTTCACTCAAGCGCAGCGCCATTGTATCTGTCGCTTGGATTCTGGCAAAGTTGCCAGTCTTCTTGATTTGTTGTCTTAGTTTATACATTATAGTACCAATTTAAATTTCCACTTGATTTATATGTATATATATATATATATTTTTTAATTTGAGGGAGATCGGGCAAAATAGACCATTTACTGAAATCTGACCAAGACGGGACCATCACCATTCGATTCTCTGGGCATTTTTACACAACTATAGTGCAAGTGCGTGTAATATTAATGACGCTAATCTATAAAACCACATTATATATGAGTTTGTTTCAGTTTGATGGGAATATAGGGTGAAATGGGGGTTTACAGTGGTTGCCACATGGCGAGCTTCGCAGCATTCGATTCCTTAAGTAATTGTACAATAGTTAAGTGCATAAAGTTCAATATGTTGTCCGTCAAATTCTGCTTACCGAGTTTTTAATCTTGTTTTTATAGGCCAGGGGAAATCGGGAAAAATTGACCACTTTTTTTATTTATTTTTTATAATCCATTTATTTGTCAAGGCTCAAATGCGTTAGCTTTGCGGAGCCGAATATTTTTTACATGATTGAAATGGACCACTTATTGACGTTTGATCGAAGTAAAACTAGCTCTATTCAACTCCTCAGCTCTTTTTACAAGGATAAAGTTTACGTTGGCTCAATATAAGCGCACCAAGTTCAGTTTCTGGGGAGATCCGAGTAGGCTCTGCCCGCGAACGGTTGGTTTTGTTTTCGCTGGCGCTGATTTCATCTGTTTCCACATACATATTTTTTAATTGTACCAAATCAAAAAATATTAGTTTTCGCGTATGGACAAGTGTAAATTAAGATCTATCACGTTTTAAGAAGTTTGTTTAGTGATATTGTAATTAACGTGAAAAATCTGGGACAAGAATTTGTTTCGAGTAGCTGTGTTGCTGTGGTGTCGCGTTGGTCGGTTTTTCTTTTCGCTTGCTTTTTGGTGCTTTGCCTCCCTCCCAAGAAGAGTTTTACCGTTTTTTTTTCTTTTTCTTGGTGCTGGCGTTTTGCCTTCCGGAGGATGCACGCAAATGAGCTGTCAGGCAAAAATTCGGTGCAAATGAAAAACTTCGCGTGTGATTCAAAATGTCGTGTTCGATTGTAAAAACAACGCGGAAGTTTTTTTCGATTACCGCGAGTGAACAAACCGGTGCTTTTTCGGAGGCAGAATTTGGTGAGATCCTTCTGATTTATAATCAATCATAAATGCATATTTCCATATATTACTAAATACGCGCCAGATTTCGAAACATCACATTTCGAAATCTGAAAGTGTGTTTGCAGTACCATTATTCATATGATAACGGTAGTGTTTACATGCGGGGCTTATTGTATGTGAAAGTAACTTCGGAATGGACGTGAATTACCAGGCATTCTGAAATGGGTTGCTGAATCTGCAGTAGAGCTATCGCTTTCTAACTCCCGGACTAAACTTGCTTATTATTACATCAAGGATTGTTGTTAGGGTTGGGGTTAGATTGAACACACACACACACACACACCAAGTTCAGTTTCTGGATGATAAATATATTTTTCTTCAAAAATTAGGGGTAAATCGGTCAAAACGGACCACTTCCCGAAGTCAACCTTAAACGGGACCATCACCATTGAATTTTTCGAATTTTTTCACATAAGATAGGCTATTTTGCAGGACTCCTACCGTGCGTCGTCTAATTAAATGGGATTTTGGGTCGATTTTTCCCCACTGTGCATTGGGTCGCGACCCATAGATTAAGAAATGCTGGTCTATGTAATTCCCACATGCCATAATTGGAACACACCATAATATGAACGTATAGCCATAACTGGCAATCTGGCTTGATGGAGCCTCACTCGCGAGTTTGAAATGAGCCGAGCGTAGCATTTTTCTGAGGAGTTGAATGCCTACTGTGAAATCATTCCACTGAGCTTCAGAGCTTGTGAGCGAATGAGGATAAAATGAGGGTGAGGTATGCTGCCATTCATGATCATGTTTCCTATCACACGCTCTTACTCTCACTCTGGGTGAACTCTGATCTTCTTGCGTTGAATAAAAAAGTCATCCGGAGTCTCGCAAAGCGCACCTCACGTCAAATCATCCTCTCGTTGAAGTTCACTCTCCCTCTCTCTCTCGAGGAGTTTTTGAATTTGTAAGAATTACCCATACACATATTCCAAATGATCCATAAAACATTCAGCAATGGACCTTAAACTAATTAAAGTGATCCATAGAAAATCAAGCTTGCAATCTCAAAAATATAGGCATGATCCATAAATTAGACATATACTTTTCATGTTTTGGACACTAACTTTTTTATTTTGTTCCATAAACCATGAAAAGATGAAGTAATGAAATTGGGTTGTTAGCGGAATGCAAATAAAACAGCAAAGAAGGGTTATCTTCCATTTAATTCCATTTAAATAATTTTGGTATCCATGACAGATACGTATTTCGACTACAATGTGCAGTCTTCATCAGTGTTATTCCCACTTGAAAAGATGTTCCATTACTACGTAGCTAATTAGATTTACTGACATACCCGTGTTTTTTTAGTTAGAAGTGCGAAACGACGGGTAAGCTGTTTCTTCTTCGATCTAAAGTCACTGGGTTTGGTAGGTGATAGAAACACCACAAGGTCAATTCACGGTAACTTGACTTAGAATTC